AAAAAAAAAAAAAAAGGAAGCAAAAACAAACACCCTACAATCCTCTCAATAGATGCAGAAAAAGTATTTGATAAAACCCAACATCCTTTTCTAATTAGAACACTGACGAGTATAGGCATATGTAACATATTTCTGAAACTGATAGAAGCTATCTAGGACAAACCCACAGCTAATATTTTACTGAATGGAGTAAAACTGAAAGCTTTTCCTCTTAAAACTGGAGCCAGACTAGGTTGTCCTTTGTTGCCATTACTATTCAATGTAGTGCTGGAAGTTCTAGCCAATACAATTAGGCAAGACAAGGAAATAAAGGGCATCCAAATGGGAGCACAGGAGGTCAAACTCTCCCTCTTTGCTGACAATATGATCTCAAACGTAAGAGAACCCCAAAGACTCAACCACAAGACTCCTGGAAGTCATCAAAAAATACAGTAATATCTCAGGATATAAAATAAATGTCCACAAGTCAGTAGCCTTTGTATACGCCAATAACAGTCAAGATGAGAGGCTAATTAAGGACACAACTCCCTTCACCATAGCTTCAAAGAAAATGAAATACCTAGGAATATACCTAACAAAGGAGGTGAAGGACTTCTATAAAGAAAATTATGAAATCCTAAGAAAGGAAATAGCAGAGGATATTAACAAATGGAAATACATACCATGCTCATGGCTGGGAAGAATCAACATTGTTAAAATGTCTATACTTCCCAAAGCAGTCTACCAATTCAATGCCATGCCTATTAAGATACAAACATCATACTTTCAAGATTTGGAAAAAATGATTCTGCATTTTGTATGGAACCAGAAAAAAACTCCTATAGCTAAGGCAGTTCTTAGTGATAAAAACAAAGCTGGGAGCATCACCGTAACAGATTTTAGGCTGTACTACAAAGCCATAGGACAGCATGGCACTGGCACAAAAATAGAGACATAAGACATTTAGAATCGAACAGAAAACCAGGAAATGAAACTAACATCTTACAACCACCTAATCTTCGATAAACCAAACAAGAACATACCTTGGGGAAAAGACTCCCTATTCAATAACTGGTGCTGGGAGAACTGGATATCCTATGTAAAAGACTGAAAATAGACCCGCACCTTTCTCAACTCACAAAAATTGATTCAAGATGGATAAAGGACTTAAATTTAAGGCACGAAACAATAAAAATCCACAAAGAAAGCATAGGAAAAACACTGGAAGATAATGGCCTGGGGAAAGACTTCATGAAGACTGTCATGGCAATTGCAACAACAAAAATAAACAAATGGGACTTAATTAACTGAAAAGCAACAACCAAACTAATGAGACAACAACCAAAGCAAACAGACAACCTACACAATGGGAAAGGATATTTGCGTATTCTGAATCAGACAAAAGCTTGATAACTAGGATCTACAGAGAACTCACATTAATCTACATGAAAAAGCCAACAATCCCATCTATCAATGGGCAAGAGACATGAATAGAACCTTCTCTAAAGAAGACAGACGAGGTGGCGCCTGTGGCTCAAAGGAGTAGGGCGCTGGCCCCATATGTCAGAGTTGGAGGGTTCAAACCCAGCCCCAGCCAAAAACTGAAAAAATAAATAAAAAATAAAAAATAAATAAAGAAGACAGACGAATGGCTAACTACGAAAAAATGTTCATCATCCCGAATCATTAGAGAAATGCAAATCAAACCACCCTGAGATACCATCTAACCCCAGTGAGAATGGCCCATATCACAAAATCTCAAAACTGCAGATGCTGGCATGGATGTGGAGAGAAGGGAACACTTTTACACTGCTGGTGAGACTGCAAACTAATACAACCTTTTTGGAAGGAAGTATGGAGAACCCTCAAAGAACTCAAGACCTCCCATTTGATCCTGCCATCCCATTACTGGGCATCTACCCAAAAGGAAAAAAATGCTTTTTTTTTTTTTTCGCAGTTTTTGGCCAGGGATGGGCTTGAACCCACCACCTCTGGTATATGGGGTGGCGCCCTACTCCTTTAAGCCACAGGTGCCGCCCAGGAAAAAAATCCTTTTATAATAAGGACACTTGCACTAGACTGTTTACTGCAGCTCAATTTACAATTGCCAAAATGTGGACACAGCCTAACTGCCCACCAGCCCAGGAATAGATTAACAAGCTGTGGTATATGTACATAGGATACATGCTTCTCCATCCTTGTGATGTTTTACTAAGAATAATGTGTTCCACTTTCATCCAGGTTAATACAAAGGCTATAAAGTCTCCATTTTTTTAAGTGGCTCAATAGCATTCCATGGTGTACATGGTCTCACTCTTGGTCAGGCTGGTCTCAAGCCAGTGAGCTCAGGCAGTCCACCCACCTCGGCCTCCCAGAGTACTAAGATTACAGGCGTGAGCCACCGTGCCCGGCCTGTAAAGTAAGCTTATTGGTGGTAACGTGTCACTTTTTCCCTATATTTGACATTGCAAACTTTAGGGTCTTTGAAATATGCAGGATTGTTATAAGTAACTGGCATCAACTTCATTATTTGAGCGCTTTAAATTACTTTTGTGATTTCTATTTCTTTTGTTATGTGCTTCCATAAATGCATCTAGTAAATGTAGAAATAAACTGGGACAAAAGCTGTACATTCTCATAAGCTACATCATGTTTTCCACACAACATTTCTTTTTTTTTTTGAGACTGTCTCAAAAAAAAAAAAAAAAAAATGTTATCATGTACTCTGGGAGGCCGAGGTGGGTGGACTGCCTGAGCTCACTGGTTCGAGACCAGCCTGACCAAGAGTGAGACCCCATCTCTAAAACCAGCCAGGCGTTGTGGTAGGACCTATAGTCCTAGCTATTCGGGAGGCTGAGGCAAGAGAATCACTTGAGCCCAGAAGTTTGAGGTTGCTGTGAGCTATGATACCATGGGACTTTGCCAAGGGCAAGAAAGTGAAACTCTGTCTCAAAAAAAAAAAAAGTTTTTAAAGAAAACATTTTTCTAGTATAAACCATTCATAAATATTTTATCTTTTACCTACTTTTTAAAAAGCAAGCCAACAAAAAACAATACCCAAGTTTTAAAAGCATGTTTTAACCTTCATGCCTCTTCAGAGTCCAGTGGGATTGGGGAGAATAGAAATAGATTTCAACAATCAAACTGAAACAGCCAAGCGTAGTAGTTCAGGCCTGTAATCCTAGCATTCTGGGATGCCAAGTCGGGTGGACTGCCAGAGCTCATGGTTTCAAGATCAGCCTGAGCCAGAGCAAGACCTCATCTCTAAAAATAGCCAGGCATTGTGGTGGGCACCTGTAGTCCCAGTTACTCAGGAGGCTGATGCAAGAGAATAGCTTGAACCCAAGAGTTCAAGGTTACTGTGAGTTGTGACACCACAAGGGCACAAGAAGGGCAAAAAAAGTGAGACTCTTGTCTCCAAAAAAATAAAAATAAAAATAACTGAAATTGGCTCAGCGCCTATAGCACAAGCGGCTAAGGCGCCAGCCACATACACCAGAACTGGCAGGTACGAATCCAACCCCAGCCTGCCAAACAACAATGACAACTACAACCAAAAACTAGCTGGTCATTGTGGC